TCTTTTTTTAGATTGTTAGTTTGTTCTAAAAAAAATTAATCATTTCAGAGCAAATCTGAATTCTCACTTTTAAATTCTAATGCTCCCAACACTCACGATTTCAAATTCACATCAAGCGTTGAATTAACACATCTAGGATCGCCTGTTGGAGGACACGAGGCAATAAGCACCTTTCTTCATTCCACACTTGACATACTCCTTAAACTGGAGGACATCTTTACACTTCTTCCATCACACAAGTCCTTTTTTTTGCTAAAAAATTTCTTTTTTATACCAAGGATTCTTTACGCACTTCGGTCAACACCAATTTTTAAATATCCTATTCCTCTCCAAACTACGAAAAAGGAATAAAGGACTTAACCGAAAAAATAGTAAATATCAGATTCAACGAAACCGCTTGTGCCCAAGCAACTCTTCCAACCAAATTTGGTGGTCTCGGCATCAGATCTCCACTTGACTTAGCAACAACTACTTTCATATCGAGTAGTCTCTTGACAAAGCCAATAACCACCGCCCATAATTCTAAAGAAGACCTTTCCTTAATCGTGGCTATGGATATTTGGAAAACAAGGATCAATGCTGATTCTCATCCCCCCACAACCCATAAACAGAAAGACTGGGATGCACCAGTGGTTGCTCGCTGCGTTGAAACTCTCTTATCTAGCATGCAATCTACCGACCGCACCCTATTCTCTTCCTTGCTCAATGGTACGGGACATGAGTTTCTTGAGGCCATCCCATCTACCAATCTTCAGCTTCAACTATCCAACAATGAATTTACCCATGCCATCGGCATTCGTCTAAATTGTTCCATCACTCACCCCCACATCTGCTCAGGGTGCAACTCGCCAGTTGACTCGAAGGGTAGACATAGTTTACATTGTCGCTCCTGCAATGGACGATTCATCAGACACAAGCAATGTAATACAATCATCCAACATGCTCTGAAATCCGCCCAAATTCCTTCCACGTTAGAACCACAGGGTCTTTTTAGATCTGACGGTAAACGTCCTGATGGGATCTCTCAAATCCTATGGAGGAGAGGCCAACTTTTGGTATGGAACTATTCCTGTATTGACCCCTTGGCCCCATCCAACCACGCCATCAACATCCTTGACCAGAAGGAACAACTTAAAATTTCTAAATACACAGAAATAATAAACGATCATTGCTTCATCCCAATCATATCAACCACTCTTGGCACCTTCGGCAAACTCGCCTTAGCATTTTTCAAAAACTTAGGATCACAAATCAGCAAACTCTCAGAAGAACCACGAGAGGGTTTTTTTCTTCGTCAACGATTATCCATAGCGATTCACAAAGCTAATTATATCAGTTTCAATGGTAGCCTTCTAGCCAAAGAGCTATCATAGACAACGCTTATGTCCCTTTTTCATTTTTGTTTCCCTGCGTCACACCATCTCCGTTCTTTTTTTTAATAGTATTATTATATATTTTTCAAACATTTTTAAATATATTAAAATTTATTATAATGAAAATTTAAATTATTATACCTTATATTGATAATAAACTATATAATAAACATTTGATATTCTAAAAAAATATTTTATCTCTTATTTTTTTAGATAGTTAGTTTTAAAAAATTAATTACTTCTAGTTTTTACAATATTTTATATATATTTTTTAATTTACGGTATTTTGTCTTTAATAATATATTTATAAATGAAATACTATAAAGCAAATGGGTTTTAATTATTAACCTAACCAGCTTAAAAATTTTTAAAAATATCAATTTTTTTTTAAATTTAAGTTTCTTAAAAAAATATTGTTTATAATTTTTTTCCCAAGGTGATGCAACTGCACCCTTTTCCTCTTGTTGTGGGTGCCCATAAAATATCTGCAAAATATAAATAATAAAATCTGCTATAGCATTTTATTTTGATAATAACTTTGTTAATTTTTTGAAAAAGTAATGTAACCGGTTCCTTTTTTTGAACGATGATCCATTTTCAAGTAAAAAAGCAACGACATTACATTTTTAAAGTATCGTTTACAAAACTGTTTTTATTAACATTATTCTATCTCGTATAGTATAATTTATAGGCAACCTCTTTATAAAACTGTTGCACTAACTTCCTTGATCAGTTGTTAGTGTAAATAATAAACACAATAACTTAAATATATTATTATTTTTCTTTTAATTCCGTCAGTGCAATTCAATAAAGTCAATGGCCTTGAATGAAATTTCTTTTTTATCAAGAGTAGATAAAAATAGACTGGAAAACTAAGTTCCTTTGCAAAAATTTATAATAGATCTCTGTCATTGGTCTAAGAAAAGTGCGGAAGATTTGTTTTAATGAGGATATAATGCTCAAAAGTTATACGATAATGAAAGAATCCTTAAATAGAAAAGGATCCCATATCTGAATGCAATAGTAAATACTGACATTCCTAGAAATAGGTCTATGATTTGATATGGTGTCATAATAAGATATTTACATTGTAAAATATATTCACTTTTATCCAAGTTAATTGTGAAATAACATTTAGTAAGTTGAAAATAATTTAAAATAAATTGTGAGCTAATTTTTATATTTTATTTTGATAAAGAGTATAATCTAAAAGTTTATTTAAGCAGCTATATGCATAACGGCATCATATTAAATCAGACGTATATATATTAGGTATGTTTGTACGTATTGCACCACCGGTGTTGTGTTTTTCAGATGCAAATTATTTGATAAAAACGATTGATAGAAATTTCTATTAAAAATATTTTTTTTAATGTTTTGAATGTATAAAAATCAATAATCTTCCGAGCAATATTATGTTTTTAGATTGGAGATATCTTAAAACTGTTTCAATATTTTGATACTTTCTAAATAAATGTAGCCGTCTAAAGTTTTGAATTTAAAGCCTCTAGGAGTGATTGAGATAACAATCTGACACTTCTCATTTTATGATAGTTTTTTCATTAATATCCCTTTTTTTCAAAATCATATTTATAAACCTTTTAGATTTGAATCCATAATTTTTTTCAACAATACAATGTGATCTTCATCGGGCTTAATTTTTCAAGCCCTACCGGGCGAATATTTTTTAAAAAATTTGTCCCGATTTCAAACTTTTATTTGTCCTGAAAAGCCCCATCCGAAATAAAAAATTATCTGTCCGCTCAGCACGGCCCCAATTAGTTTAAATATAGAAAAATTTAATTTTTTTTTATTGTTAAAAATATTTGCACCTTGTTTTTGCAAGAATTTTAAATAATATCGATTTATTCCACGAAATTGAGTAATCATATTTATAATAAGCCCCACCCGGCCCAAATTTTTTCAAAATATATAAGACCCGACTTAATCCGAACCCGAAAAATTTTAATAACAATTGCTATTTATTTAGACCACTCAGCACTCACATAAATATATGTATTATATATAAATAGTGGATTTATCTTACAAACTTATATCATGAATACTCACTGTTTTTCATATTCCTTTTTGGTTAAGATTTCTGGAGAACCTATTCTTCTGATTTTATAATATAGAAAGTTTTCGTCCCTTTAATTCTAACTCGCTGTATATCTAATGATCGCTTAGTAAGTATTATGATTTAGACATGAAACGTATTACCTATAATAAATACGTTTAGATTTTATTTTCGTTCAAAATTTGTTAAAATATAATTATTTATATGCACACATTTTATTAAACACATCCCACGGAGACCCCCTGCTTGTCCGCCTCTGGTAAAGGATATATACCTTCTAACCTATATATTATATATCATATAACAGTTTTTATATAATCAAAAAAAATTACATAATTCTTCATGTCTCTTATTAAGAGCCTTTAACCACGAGTTTTTACAACTATATAATATCAATTTTAGAATTTGAATTAAAAAATTATTAAATTAAATTTAGTTAAGTGAGTCGTTGTAAATGAATAATTTGTGTAATAATTGCTCCTTTTTAGCTAGCAATTTATTGTGGTGGTAGTGGGAGGGGGGTTACTTTTAAACTTTAATTCCTTATTGTTATGGCATTCTCATATTCCTATCATCATACTAATAATTGGGAAACTGCTAGTTATAATTTAGTTTTTGAGGATTAATTTACTCAGATATTTTTTTATTTAACTTAAATGTAACGAATAGGTCGAGAAAAATTGCACTCGAACTGTTTTTAATTTAATATAAATAAATATTTATCAAATTCGAAGAATTAAACAGACACTCTGCGATCCCCGCGTGAGAAACCCTAACCGAATTTGACCTATATATTTTTTTTAGGGGACCCCAAGAAATTTGCGTTACGAAATTTTATTTTTCTATCCCATGTTCTTAAAGTTTTCACAGATCATTTTAATTTAATTATTAATTTTAAAAAAAATTAAAACCTGTCTATCGGAGACCTGTATCGCAGATGCCTGCTTCAAATTTTCAAGATTTTGTTAATTTTACCCCTGCCAAAATTTTAGAAATATTGTTATTTTATCATTTTGGTTGTATTAAATAGTCTCAAGAGAAATTGAAAAATATGAGCAGCAAATGAATGTTAAATTATATACTATTTTCCAACGATTTTCAACTGATTAATTGATATAAAATTTAATTTTTTAAAAAATTGGCCAGACAAGACCGAGTTGTATAAAAATATTTTTAGGCCCTACTGTCTGTATTTTTTCTTATTTTTAAGCCCAGCCTGGGTTTTTAAAATGCCCCATCAGTTTCTTAGAATATCATGTTAAACTTTGTTTATTTCTTATTTTTATTCTTTTCTATTTGAATTCGTATAAATAACTTAGTCTTTTCACGCTCAATTGATTAAAACTATTTGGTATTTATCTCTACAGTTGCATTTTTTGCTTGTTTTACACCAAACCTTATTTGACACAAAGATTTTATTCTCTCTTCTGCATATTTTATAAGGCTCTTTACTTTTCTACTGACCAATGTGAAAGTTATTAAAATTGTTAATATTTGTTTTTAAGTATCATATTAATGTAATAATCATTATAAAATATATTTAATTTTACTTCGCGATAAGGGTATAGGGATGGTTTTAATCAAATTTCGACATTTTTCGCAAATTTGTAGCATGTATTCAAGACAATTGATCAATAAGTTTATTGTACAATCTGAATCCTTAACAAGTTTACTACTAAAATGAAAAAAAATGTAATATAGGTGTCTAAAAAAAATACAAATAAACAAAATGGAATTTGAAGTTATATTTAATAAATGTAATTTTTTTGTTATTATTTAGAACTGAAACTAAACACAAATGCTATACAATTACTTTTTCATCAATAATGATCTTTTAATAGACATGATATTAGTGTAACAATGTTCAAAACTTTCTTCAACTTGTTTCCGACTATATTCGCTATCAATTAGACTTCCTATCCATAATAAGTTTTCTCTAAAAATCGCAATATCACAATTAATATCTAAAATCTTCTAAATATTTTAAAAAAAATTATTAAAAGAATTAAAATGATACTATATAATATCATATATTTAATATCCGGTTAAATATAAAATGTTTCTTTGAATAGGCATTTATATGGGTGGTATCATTTAATAACTCCCATTTCTTAAATAATATATAAAAAAGGTATTAATTAATTTAAACCTATAAATCAATCTTTATAAATTAGAAACTTGCTAGCGGAAATGGCTCAATTGTAAAAATAAAGGAAATAGAAAGCCATTCAGCATTTAGAAAAATATATAAAAAATTATGCTTATCTGATCATTTTTATATGTAATAATTTAAGAAGATCAATCACTCAGATGTGAGCAATATTTGTCTCCTCCCTATCACTATTTACCTTCATCATATCTCACTCTATATGATAGATTTCAAATTCCTCTCTCATCGCTATTCATTCAAATGAATAGCAGAGACGATTATTCCCTTCTTTGATAATTCTCATAATGGTTGCCTAGCTTTCTCTAAATTTCTAAACATATTACTTGTGGAGTATGTCTAAGCAAAAACAAGACAAGATTCAATATCACTTAGTCATAGCTAAACAAACCTATTCCATTTTATGAACTCATTTCAAAATATTTGCAACTAAAATGTTTTTTACATCATTATTATTCCTACAATTAACAACATTTTCTATCAATATTGCCTTTCATTTCGTTTCCTGTAAATAAATAATATAAGCAATTCAATATTCAAATAATTCAGAGAGTTCTCTTCCCCAGTTAAAGTTTAGAATAAATTATATTTAATATTCCAAAAAGCCAGCTCTCGCAATAACATATGATTAGAGCTAATTGGTTGTTTGACCCCAGATTTTTAGTGTTTCAATATAAATATGTTCTATGATAAGGCAATTGGTGGTTGATTAATGTCATGAATAAAACGGATCAGACCAAATGACATATCGGTTAACAAATTTAAACCCTAAAAAATATTTTATTACGTATAATTGAACAAACAAGAATGTCTATAGTTTTTAAATTAAATATTGGTAGCTCACGAGTTTACTTATATTATCATAAATATTATACTCAAGTGAATATACTAAAGAGTATTTTTTTTCTCTTTTAATTTATATAACAATTACAATAGTATAGTGCGAAAGGACGAGACTTTAGTCAGAGAATAGTAAATTTTACTTCACCCGACCCGAGTTAATTGACGGTAATCCACTATTAATATAAACCGGTTTCATCAATAGAAACCCCAAAAATTTAGTCAAATCACTAATTGTAATCACAAATGTTTATATATTTTGAATAATTATTGATTATCAACTGTTTTAGTCAAATAGGGTCCTTCTTCTAGATCAGAGTAATTTAATTTTCAAAAATAGTGTCTTTTAACCTACTTATTTAGATTACAGAAGAGCACTATGTTTAAAGAAAATCACCATGATTTTGAAAAAAGACAATATTTGATAATAAAAAAAAAAGGCAACATAATGCTAGGGTAAGAAAAAATGATTATATACTTTTCTATAATCATCTAGCACACCACACCCAATATAAGATGAAATTTGTTCAGAACGGCTAGATGCGTTTGATTTAACCATTAAAACAAAGATATTGATATCTGTATTATTTTTATAATAATTAATGTTTTTTAAATATAATACTCAATCAATTAAAGTTGACAAATTGTGACATCTATATCTTTTATTTGGATAATAATGACTCTAAAACAGCAACAGGATTTAAATAACCTTAATTATTTTCCAATTTGAGCAACCTAAAGTAATTATATGGTATTTTTTTTAACTGAGCACTTAAATTTGTTAAAAAAAAAAATTTAAGCCACCCTAAATTAAAAATTTTTTTTTATTGTATAAAATAATTTGACGATTAATTCATTTTGATGAAAGGAATTTTAATAAAAATACAATAATAAATAATTGCACTAAAAAAATATATCACATATTTATTTTTCAAAAAAATTGGTCTTAATATATTTTTATCGGACTTTAGAAAAACAAAGGGTGCTCTTTTTTACTCCAAAAATCATCTTCCCTAAACTGCTAAACAAATGTTCTAAAGGAATGCTTATATATGTGTGACATAATATTTAAACAGTAATTTTAAAAATGGGAAACATCATAAGAGAACGAGTCTTTGTTATTTAGAACTTAGAAGGAAATTTTTCAAAAAATGAATAATTTAAAAATAATTAGTAGGAAGTAGTGCTGTAAATATTTCTAAAAAATATCGAACGCTTTCAAAGTTCATTGACAAAAATCGAACGCGCTCACATTCAAGTTCACCTTCAAAAAAAGGAACGCGTTCACATTCCTTCAAAACTTTATGAATTTTTAAAATTTCATTTAATATAAATAACTACCATATATTTTTTAACACAATATATTGGCCATGTTTAAAAATTAATAGTTTTAGGTGAATAAAAAATATTCTTATATATTAAAAATAAAATTTCTTACTAATTATAACTATATATATAATTTTATATATCATATAAAATTTAATTATCTATAAAATATACAAATTTATTATACTTAAAAATGTTCAACTATTAAAATATAAAATCCTTGATAAAAACTAATAATAGCGAAATTTTATATACTCACATTAAAAATAAATAAATTTTTAAAGATATGCATATAATAATATATAATATTTAATGATTTTTATTTTATATCTATTATAATAATCATAATAATTTAATAAGTCTATGAAATACAACAATCTAATAGGACACTTAGAGTTATATTATATAAAAGAATAAATATTAAAATCAGGTATCTCTTTAAATGAGAACTTGAAGATTTTGTATAAGGATTAGAGGTCTGCCAAAAGCCCGCCCATCCAATGTTTAAAAAATTTTTTAACCCGCCTGCTTATAGTTTTCAAAAAAATATATACCCGCCCGTCCGCCCATTAGTATAAAATTTTTTACCCGCCCGCCCATTATTTATAAAAATATTTCGCATATAAAATTTAATTATGGCCATTCTTTCTAATATAAATATTTCAGCATTATACCTCTACAAAAAGTTTATAATTTAGGAAATTAATCAGGCATAAAAAAAATATTTAATTTAAATTATGGACAATTTATTTGATCAAATAGAAGATTTATGAAATGAATATAAATATAAAATTGATATTATGTGTAATTATTATTCAAAATAATAATGAATCGACATTTTCTGGATACAAACACGTTCTTCTTTGTTCTAAAATCCTTCCAGCAATGCTAAATACTCGTTCAGAAGAATCACTAGTTGCAGGAATTGCCAATATTTTTATTGCTAATCGTGATGGCTTTGGCAAATCTCTTGTCGTTTCCACCAAAGTAGCATATTCGTTTGAAGTACATCCTCTTCCTCAAGTGAGATCCGGATGTCCCGTATGCAATATATGTAAAACTCTTTTTTGAAGTGAGTAAGATTAATCTGCCATTCCAAAATAAAATACCGTGCTATTTTTGTAATCGTTTCATGCTATTCGAAATAGTAACAGAACAAAATACTATACAGTTTTATAAACCGTACCTCGAGTAAATATTAGAAACAGATGCATCTAACCAAGGATTTGGAAATGTACTCATGCAAAAATATGATAATGGTAACGAATTTCCAATAGCTTACACCTCAAGAACTTTACAAGACGCTGAAAAGAATTAAGCAAAAACAATAATAAACGGTGTAGAAAAATTTCATAACTATTTGTATGGACGAAAATTTAAAATTTGAACAGACCACAAACCTTTATTAAAGATATATGATAATAACAGAGATTTAAGCTCATTAACAAAACAAAGATTATTACGTTGGGCTTATAAATTATCTGCATATGATTATGATATAATATACAAGAATGGTGCTAATAATATAATTGCAGATGCTTTATCGCAAAACCCAATAGAGAAAAAGGATGATAGAATAACAAGCGAAAATAAAACAGTGAAATATATAAGAAATCTTACTTATGACACATTAACTCTACCAAGAAAAGAACTTAGAGAGGAAACCGCGAAAGATCCAATTTTAAAAAGAGTAAAAATATTAATAAATGTTACAAATATACAAAATCAAGCATCAAATCTAGAATAAGAATAGATGAAATAGAAAATAATGACGGTATTTTATTTGGAATGGTAGATTAATCATTCCGTACTCACTTTAAAAAAGAGTTTTACATATATTGCATGGGGGACATCCGGGTATTACATCAATGAAATCCATTCGAGACATTATATATGGTGGGAACAATTAGATAAAGATGTCGAACATCCAGTAAAGTATTCTTCACTTAAAAAAAACGATTGGTACAATAAAAATTGTTCTTGATCAAATAATTAATTACGATTTTTCTTTAGTTTGTTTTTGAACAAAAATTTTAAATTTCCTTAACCCGCCCGCCCATTGTTTAAATTTCTTAACCCACCCACCCGCCCGCCCATAGTTTCAAATTTTTTAACCCGCCTGCCCATTCTCGAAAAAATTTATACCCGCCCATCCGCCCGCCCACTTAGATGGGCGGGCCGAAATCCCGCCCAATACAGACCTCTAATAAGGATAAAATTAGCTTATATAATATAATATATGATGTTTCTGTAAAATATTTATTATTTTTTGGCAATGAACGAATTCAGAATCAGATCATGAAATATACA